GAGAGTGAGAACTGATAGCACATGTAGGAGAATGGTGTTATCTAGGTCAGCTACTATATCATATTACACCTTGTGCCAAGTGCTTGCGGCAGGATCTCGACAATATCGGGCAGCGAGGGGTGAGGGCTGGAGGGAAATAACGACATGAAGTAGGACAAACTGAGGGGAAGAGAGAGAGAAAGAGGAGTTCTACTAAAACATTAACTACTGAGCAGTCCCACAGTGACAGCGATGTATTTATCACATATGAATGCATGAATGATTTTTTTGGGCTATCCAATGATATGCACAGCTCTCCAAGATTTGTTATGTATCATGTTAAATGGTCTGTTGATATGCAGTGCATTCTATGGTAATGTACAGTGCAGAGGTAGTTCTGTGCCGCTGTAATCTAAGCAAGGCTGTTATCAAACCTCTCCATGGTGCATTCAAGGACAGCTGTAAAATTAAAACCACTGTCATGTAAAAATCAACCCAAATCTCATTACATTTGAAAAAAACAGCTCCAGGCTTTTACTTTAAATTTTTCATTAAACTTTGCTTTTTTTCTTAAATTTCATTTCATTACTTCTTGCTCTCATTATAAATGTTGATGAATCAACAAATGTGTGCATAGAAATATTTAAATTATAGAACAGAATGGGGAATATTAAATCAGAATATAACGGCAGATTACAGTGAACTGATAAATGCTACTTCACTATGAAACTATATTTTTGCACAGTGTGTTTGTTTGAGGGTGTGTATGTACCATTTGTTGAAAAAAAACACAGCAGAAGAAGTGGTGTCATATTGGAAAAAAACAATCAATCATTTCCACAGCTACTATAAATAGCAGAAGAAAAATGTCACAAGGGGATTAAGGACCCGTAAGAGGTACGAAGCTGCTTATTTGCAACAGGAGACGCATCGTCATGCCAGGACATGATGGTTGTAATTGAAGTGTTTGATAAAGCGTCTAAATATCATCCTCTGGCCTGACCTTTCCCTCTTGGGGTCTGATATTGCGTTTTCACCCAGGCGGAACAATCAATAAATCTTTCACAAGAGGCGACACTTTCAGTTCTCCCACCATGTCCTTGCTCTCTCACGACATTCTCTGCCCTCCAATTCTCAGTTCCTTTCATTAATCCATCCCTTGCCAGGAGTGCATCCCTAGAGACCACTGACCTCACTTTTCCAGGACATGAGGGCAGCCTCATCCAAAAATATTTTTCATAGAGAGAGAGAAAATTAAGCAGAGTAGAGGTAAGCAGTGATGAGGGGAGAAGAGAGATCAGAAGATAAATACCAGAGATTAAATATAGATTAGAAATGAGCAGAGGATATTAGCATGAAAGGTGTGTGTGTTTGTGTGCGTTGAAATGAAGAGTCTATTGAGGAAACACTGCAGCAGCCACAGAGGACGGACTTCGCTTTCCATCAAGTACCAGACAAACAACTCAGAGTGATAGAACAGGAACCGTCTCTATATTTCGGAGTCGTCACAAGCAGTTATGTGTCAGAGAATAGCCAATAAACACACGGATCAGTCACCACTCACCTCAGAAACACAGACATATACTGACACATCAAAATCCTCAAGACAGCACTGAAGGTCATGACAAGGTTTTGTGACAGTGACAGTAAGCAACACGACACTGGGAGCAGAAATGAAAGGGATAGATGTACATTTTTCATAATCTAACCAGATGTGATTTATTTCCTTATACAAACACATGAAAACAACTTATTTTTTGTGTGGCAGATACAACTGTGCTTTTTTTTCCTGGCTCCTATATGTGGGATGTGCCAATTTAGTAACTGGAAATGACATAATTTCTGAAAATATTTACAGCAACATATTGAAAATGTACTTGATTGTACTTGATTGTATTAATGCTCCAATGTAGCATGTAGCAAAAACAACATTTGACCCATTAGGAGTTAGACTGATTTGTTGAAGATCAATATGTTGGAAAGACGCTGACTGAGACTGATAAATTATTTATACATTGCATTTACCTTTTCATTTTGTTGCATGCATTACCAGTCATAGATGATTATATTTAAATGATATAGACCTACATAAAGCTTTGCTACCCATAATATACATCTGCAATATATGGATGCCATGGTGTCTGTAAATAATATTGCTTTTCTCCTCTATTGTAGCTTGCAATGAAATCCAACTTTTCCTTTCCTTTTGTGTGAGCAATTAAAGAGACCTGCTTTTCACAGTATGTGTGGCTGGCTCAAAGGATACTTGATATTTTAAGCAAATTTAAACAGATGTATGTTCATAAATCTCTGCGTCCACATTGTTTTAAATTGCTTTGTTGTGTGTACGCTGTCGTCTCCAGGGTCTACTAATACAGGAATAATCCCCCAGCCCAGACACTGAGGTTAGATAAGGTCATGGGGATGATTGCTGCGGCCTGGCCGAGGCTAACAGAGAATTAAAACCAACTAAAACAATCACATTAGTCTTGAAGATCAAAAGCGGTCTGAGCAGCGACGCTTATTTTAAATAATTTGCTGCATGTAACCCTCCATCATCTTCATAATGATTAAAGCTTTGCGTGCAGCCTGAGCACCGTGGTACAACAGCTGCCACCTAAAAACCTCACACACACACAGATGGACACACAGAGAGGAATGCTGGTGGTGTCCCACAAACGATTTATAACTATTAAACCACTTAAAAACCCCAAAAAGCCAGACACACACACACACACACTCAGCAGCCTGAGCAGGGCTTTTGTCCATGATCTTTTTTTATCATGACTGTTGAACCCTAGCACAGTGAGCTGAACGTCAAGTGGAACAACAGCATCACGGCAACACACGCAAAGTGTGAAAATGCTGTCTTCAGCCAGTAATGTCAACCATGAGTCTTCCTTTTACATGCACCCCTGTCTCTTTTAGCAACGCAGACAATTACTGGGAGCATTGTATGGTTTCATTCAAGCGAGCATGGGGTGTGTGTAACTATGGGAAACTGTGCGAGTTGTGTGTATGTGGATTACGGATTACTGCCTAATCATCTTAAAGGCCAGTAGGACACGACTGACTGACTGACTGACCCACCCACACCCACACACACACACAGGCATGCACGCATACACGTACGCATCAGAGTGGACTGATTTATTGTTATACAGCACTTTACTTTATCTAACAATCTAACAGGTAGTTGGCTACTGAGCAAATGGTGCAATGCAGTGCACACGGAGCAATACACACTTCAGTCCTGGTATAAACAACATGCAGTGCAATAACACGTCTGCATGAGCTGAAAATGTTTCATCTTAAATCTGTTTCGCAAAAATGGAGATGAAAGAGAAAATGAGAGCGTGGAGGGAAGAGACCAGAAATAATTGGAGTTCCTCGTGAGTTCAGTGTGAACTCACGCAAACAAACTCCACGCACACGTCAATTTGTGCATGTCAACTAGATTACCGCTAATATGTGAATAGTCGGTACATGTTGGCTGCACAAATAGGCCCTGGGGTCAAATTTGTGCATATGATATGCTGAGAAATCTTGCTTATGCTAAACACATTAAGATTGACTGAGGTCGCTACATCAGGACAGTAATTCAGGCTTTTATGGCTGAAATGAGTTTTTCTAAATAAAAAGCTTGCGTCAATATTGGGGTGGAAAAACTGTACTTTTACTCATACTGCTTCATACATAAGGAAATAATTATAAAAAATGATATATATATATGTATATAAATATATATATAAAATAGTAATTCAGTAAGTCATAAAGTTATAATAATTGTAAGTCAGGGCAGCATGGTTGTAAAATTTGGCAGAAACCACTGTGAAGTCTCATTTATTCCAACTTTTATAAATGATGAAAAGCACATTCTGCATAAATGTGAATTGTTGATTTTCCCATAATATTAACTGTTTAATGGGATTTTTGTGGTTGGCTGCCTATTCCCCTAAACTTTCAAATGTTTTACCTTTCACTAATAGAAGAAAACATTTACTCTCATTTTAAATTTCACTGCTAAATTATATATGTTAACTTTATTTACTTACTTTACTTAAGAGATGCTTTGCTTTTTAATTTTTAGCTTTGACAGTAAATATTTACAACTCATTCTGTGCTGACATGAGTTTATCTGCACGACACAGCTCTTAAACTTAACACTGGACTCTCATTTAAGATTTTAAAATGCTGTACTCTTCCCATAGTTTCACTCTATGCTGGAGATTACAGTACATGGTGTAAACTGGGTAGGTTTCTATGTGCAGTAGTCTGGGTGTAATGCTCAGTAATCAACTTAAATGAGATCAGCAGATCAGAAGAACCAGGGATCGTCATGTTCCCGCAGAGAGATTGAACTCAGGTGGGGGGGGGGGGCTCATTATCCTGCGTACATGAGCGTCTCCACGAGAGGCGTTTTGTCTACTAGTTGGTTACCAGCCAATGATCATGGACAGGTCATCACACTGCTTCGCTCTGCATCTTTAGGTTTGACCAACTGGAAACTGCTGAAACATTTAGGATGAGCAGCCTCTCCTGCAGAAGCAGCGCTAGGAAAGTGCTGTAGCTCTACAATGTGACCTCTCCTGTGACAACAAATTTTAATTTCCATCCTGACTTAAGCTTCCACCTTTAGTAACTCGGTCTGATGTTTGTGAGCTGTGGTGAAATGAGTTTCACAACTGAATGTGTTTTAAATGATCGAGATTCATCAGCAGAAAAAGTTGATACAGATAAGTGGTAAAAGTGTGAAAATGTACAAAAGGCATAATCAGTGAAGGAATATTATCTTAACTTGGAATTTCCTGGTACAACTAATAAAAGTTTCCAAGCAGAGCAGCAGATAACTGAGCGACTGACCAACCAATTGGAAGGATGATAATTTCCATGTAAATACAATGTCCTGGCACTTAAATCCAGTCAGGGACCCTGGTCACATGTCATAGCCTCTTCTCAATCCCATCTTTTAAAAGTGATTATCTTGTCTAAAAATATCAAACGCAGGCGTATTATCTCACCTGGCTGCAGGGTCGTCGTCAGTGTGTCGTGGTGAGTCGGAGGAGACGGGACCCTCCTCGTCCTGGGGGAGCTCTTCACATTCTGCCTCACACTTGTCATCATCCAACAGCTCAGTGATCTAAAGACAGAAATAGAAAAAGAACAAGAAAGATTAACACTAAAAATGCCTTCATTTATCGAGATGAAAAAAAAGGTCAACTGTTATGGCCAATTACTAATTTCATTGTATTTGTCATATAACAAGAAATATACAAGAAATAATTTAAAATAATTTTCATGTTGCTTCATCTGACTTTATTAGACTCACAAATCCTGCAATTTAGTTGATGCAATTGCTGACGTTAAAAAGTTTTTCTTGGTACCAAAGTTCACTTCCTGAACAGATTTCTCTAGAAAGCCTGTTGGATGTTGGGAGTTCATTACGAGCTTTCACATCGAGGGAAAAATAACTATTTCTTTTTTTAGTGACTGAAGAATTGCACTAAACAGAAATTAGCAGAAAACATTTCCGGCTACAGAGATTCAAAGAAAGGTCTTCACATTATCAACTAATCTTTTTTGAACATACAAATCTGCTGTATGTCTAAAACAGGGACAAGATATTACAGTTTGTTCCACAAATACAGATGAAGCATGAGCGTAACACACTGACACCTCAGATACAGTGGAGACAGTGGATCCAGATACAGAAAAATAAAATCTTCTTGAAAGGAGAAATAGAGGACGTGCACTTGAAGACAGGATGAAATAGAGAAGGAGGGTTTAAAGTGATTTACTGTGCTCAGTCAGTAATGTATGATTTTTATGTTGACTTAGCAATGTACCCCGTTCATGACAGGCACATTACACATTATGTAACAAGCAAACTATGCAACCATGATACGATGTCAAAACTATTTTTTTGCTCAACAGACAATTAAAAACGCTATTACAGATGTGGATACTTCATGATTAATATACCAGGCCGCTTTTTCCTTTAGTTAAAATCATTGATTTGAATACATATTCTGTTTGATTTTATTTGCACAGAGCCAAACTGGCACTTTCAAAGTATAAGGTCAGTACAAGAGAAAAATGGCCATATTAAGTGAAAAATATTTAGCTGTATGGAGAAAAGAAAGTGAGATGGGGTCTTAAATTGATTTTTTGCGTGTGTGAAAGATCAATTAAGGACACTTTTAAAGAATTATTGGCCACATAAAGGCCACATCTGCTATTTATTTATTTTGGTTTAGGATTTTAAAAAGCAAAGCAATGGGTATTTTTGTAGGATGGCAACTGGAACTGGGAGTTTAAAGCTCCAAGTGTATAGGGAAATGTTATAATTACATAACATCTTTTATAATATCACATTACACAGAACAAAATAACAATATTACATTGTTATTTTGACCAAAACAGCTCAACTCTGGTTTAAATCCAGAAATAATTGCGACCAATAACGGGAGTGAAGAAAGGGTAGAGAGAGCCGGAGGCAAGAGAGGAAGGGAATGATGAAAGGCCAAAAGAAATGAATCTGACAGTAAAAGAGAGGGTGAACCAAGTGCCAGAGAAGAGGGGAAGGAGAGCAGGGGAAAGTAAAAAGAGAGATGAAGGAAGGGAGGAGATTAAATAGGTGGACAGAAATAACTCATCATTTAACAGACTGGTCACAGCAACAGAGAGAAATCCTTCAGCTGAGTTTACCGATGATACATATCTAATTTATCTACACAACACTTTCTGTGGTTGGTTATAGGTTTTATTTCTAATATAATATTCCCCACCGCAGGAACCTAACTATACCATATATCACCTTTTTCATGTTTTTAAATGCAGTTCGTTTAAAAATAACTGTGAAAAACCTGGTAAGAAGACGAGGTTACAAGGTCGTGAATCAGATTAGTCATTTGCAAGACTATTTTTTTCTCTCCGTGACATTTTGTGCGTCCTCTCCCTCTCTCTCTCTTTTACCGCCCTCCTTCACTCATGTCAACAGCAACCCCAACTGTTGCTGTCACTGTGTCGTCGCTATGGAAACATCTTTTCCAAGAGCTATGATAGGCTGTCAGGGAATTCTTACATCGTTTCATGTGCAGACCAGGAAGGATGAGTCACAGGACTCCTCGGTGTGTGTGTGTGTGTGTGTGTGTGTG